TTCTCAGACGTCTCGAATGGCAAAACTGTCTGAAGACGGCAAATAAGCTGCCGGAAAAACGTCTTGAAATGTACCACGTCCGCAACATGACGCTGAAAAGTGCCAACTAATGACAATTATGGCAGAAAAATTTGAACAAAACACGCTCATCTCAATTGCCCTAACAACAAAATAGAGTGGCTAAAACAAATTTGAGTAATGTTTACCAACTTCGTGAGACCTATTTCATTTTGTCATTTGTAAGTAGGGGTTTGAGACTACCAGTAAATCACTAATATGGGCCGTTTTCACCCCATTTCCTTTCAGGTGATATGGGGATTGGTAGTTGACTTTTCCCACCATCAATTGAGTAGACCTTAAGTTTTCATTTCAATTCAAAAAGCCTTACCTTCCAGAAGATATTCTCATCCAAGCAGCTGCGACTGAATCTAGGTTTTATCAACATCCATAGCGAGATTCGAATCCCGCTAAGGCATCATATCATCTCGACACTTTAACCACTACGCAAAATATTGCAACAAGTATCCTTTGGTCACTGAGAAAATGTGAATCACAGTGAAGGCACGAGAAGAGCCTGGAAACATATGTCCAACTCATGAGATTGTGGGAATATTCAAGTACCATTCCTTCATCACCTTAAACTAAATAGAGTAAACACATCTCATAAATCCATTTCAGTTTGCTGTGGGAAAACTCAACTATCCGTCCTTAATTATCTAATGCAACCTAGTGTGGATACAGTTTCGAAACCTATACTACTTGCTCGAGAGAGAAGAGTAGTTATGAGATGAGAACACATTATGGGAATCGAGGCTTAAGGCTCACTCATGATATTGGGAAAATTCAACTGCAAGTCCCCTAATCACCTTAAACAAACTAGGGTGAATTGGCCTCGTAAATATGAGCTAATGGTAGTCCCGAAAACCTAATTATAAACAAAAAAACTTGAGTGGACTGTATGAATGTGTTTTGTGTGTTTTTTTGGGACAACTGACGAGACGAACACACTTCGATGGGGTAGGGAAATAATTACTCTTGCCTTCGCTTGTGGTCTCGGCCAGTTTCCCTTTATGCCGCTCGAGATTGGTTCTCTCGCGTCTCGGCCATCGCTTGGGCTCCGCGACCAATCGACACGCTTCGCTGTCCCATCCATTCTGTCCAGGCACCGCAACGACGTGCCTGTCGTCTCTACGCTCTGTCTGTCTCTACGCGCTCCACTTCTGCCGTTCCCGTCGTCTTGCCGACTATACAAAATCCGATTAGTCGAAAAGCCG